TTCTCTTCGAGTCAAGACTAGAACCAGTCAGATTTAACCCATAGCTGAGGAAGAAGAGATGTGACAGTTTGGAATCAGAATTCCTTCTTTCGGCTCAAAACTAGAGCGACCATTCAACCCTGGGCTGAAAACTAGTTTGGAATCAGAATTCCCTTCTCTTCGGCTCAAGACCACCATTCAACCCTGGTATTTAATCCATAAAACTAGAGGGAGTGAAGAGATGTGAAAGTTTGGAATCAGAATTCCCTTCTGTTAGGCTTAAAACTAGAGTGACCATTCAACCCTGGTATTTAACCCATAGCTGAGGGAGAAGAGACGGATTTGGAATCAGAATTTCCCATGTTAGGCTTAAAACTAGAGTGACCATTCAACCTGGTATTTAACCCATAGCTGAAACTGAACCCATGAGCAAAACAACAACACACTAGATTGGAATTTCTGTTTTATAGTTTTATTTTAAGATTTTTTTAAATCCCGTGCTATGTTTTATATTTTCTTGTCGCCTACGTAGGGCGGGATAAATTTACAATGAATTTACATAGCGAACTGGAGCCTGTAGAAACATTTATAAAATTTAATAATAAAAAAATTAATAATATGATTTGGAGTGCTTCATCTATAGTAATCGGAAAAATATTTAAAAAAATATTCTGTTCGCAATTCCTGTTGTGCAACTCCATCGAATTTCGTTTAACTAAATTTTTAAATCATCCATCTGAAATTAGAATAAACGAATAAACTATTTTCATCTATTCATTAAAATCAGATAATTCACGTATAATTCCATAAAAAAATATCGGTTTCGCATTCAAAGCAATATTTTCCACAATGGCAAAGTGACCCCTGGGCATTTCAATATTCATTCGATTTTTTTTTTCTCTTATTTTCCCCCGTTTTATCTTTGAATCGTTCCGACATTTGTAAAGTCAAAAGATCCTGACCGGAAAAGAACACCAAATTGAAAATTAGATAAGTCACAAATAAAAGCAAGATTACAGTCATTTTTTAAAAAACAAGGGTTCTGTGTATTTGATTGCAATATTTGATAGATATCGCTTCGATATTGATGACAAAAATGGCAATTTGTTTGGAAGCTTTGCTGAACAATAAACCCTTGGCAGGCTTTTGTCCCGTTCGTTGATTTAAACGAATCTTCATTGTCCTCCTTTTGCTTTAAAATAAATATTACGATAGAACATAAATATAATTTCCTCTTCTTGATAGTTTGTTTTTTGTTTTCTTTTTTTTGTTTGTTTGTTGTTTTTTTTTTGTTTTTTGGGGTTTGTTTTTTTATTTTTTGTTTTTTTTTTTTTTTTTTTGTTTACGTTTTGTTTGGTTAAAATCTTATAAAAATAAAGATATAAAAACAATAATCATCTGTCAGCATCTCTTGACCTCTGCAAATATCCTCTCAAACTTGGGACGTGACCATTGGATGTGACAAAGGTGTTTCCCATAATGCCTTTTGTTGGGTGTCTGGCTGCGCGTGTCAGCGGGTGAAGCTCGAGGAACGTGTTGCTCATTCTTTCTCTGCATTGCTTCATTCTTTACAGTTGTTTCTATTTCACATGCAAAAAGATGTGTATTTATTTTTAAAATCTTAAAGTCACATGCATTTGTTTTGAGTTTATGAAAAGAAAAGGCAAAACAATGGCCGCAATAACGGAAATCGATAAATGAAATAGTCCATTATTAAAAGCTGCCATCTTTCGTTCTTTCTCATTAATGTCATCTTTCATCATTCCCACTTTCCTACTCACTCATCTTATCTCTCATTCTCTCTCTCTCTCTCTCTTTCTCCCACTCTCACTCTTTCACTTCCACTGTTAGATTTTCATTTTCAGTATGTCCTCTTACACTAAGGCTTTCTGTCTTTCATTCTCATACTCTGACCCTCTCTAATTCCCTCTGTATCTTTTTCTCTCTCTCTCTGTTAGATTCTCATTTTTAATATCTTCTCTTACACTAAGGCTTTCTATCGTTCACTCTCATACTCTCACCCTCTCTAATTCCCTCTGTATCTTTCTCTCTCTCTCTCTCTGTTAGATTTTTATTTTCAATATCTCCTCTTTAACTAATGCTTTCTTTCTTTCATTTTCATGCCCTCACCCTCTCTCATTCCCTCTATATCTTTCTCTCTCTCTCTCTCTCTCTCTCTCTCTGCTAGATTTTTATTTTCAGTATCTCCTCTTCCACTAACGCTTTCTTTCACTCTCATACTCTCACCCTCTCTTATTAACTCCCTATCCTTTTCTCTTTTTTCTTTTTCTCTCTCTTTCACCCCTCCTGTTATTATTCTCATTTTCAATATCTCCTCTTTCACTAACGTCGCTTTCTTTCTTTTACTCTGATACACTCTTATTCACTCTATATCCTATTCGCTCTATCTGTCTTTCTCTCATTCTATCACACTCTCTCACACACTCATTCTCATTCTCCCTTTCTCACTCTGTTTAATTCTCTCGCCTACTCACATTCTTTTTTACTATTTTATTTATCGCTCTTTCTCACTCATTCTCTCACTGAGTTATTTTCACTCTTTCACCCTTTGCTTCTTTCGCTCCTTACTCCACTCTCATTCTAACTCCTACCCTCAGTATCCCTTTCTCGAATTTATTCTTTCTCTTTCTCTCTCATTTTCACTCTATTTCTGTCTCGCACTTTAACTCTTCTCTCGGTCTCCATTTTTTACCGTTTCATTTTCGCTCTCTCTCTCTCTCTCTCTCTCTCTCTCTCTCTCTCTCATTCTTTAACCATCTTTATCACGTTCTCCCTCCTTCTCTCAGTGTCCTTTTTCTCATTCTACCTTATTGTTATGGTGAAACACAGCTATTCTACAGTTAATAGACTCTCCCACCTAATATAAGTAGGAGTAGAAAGAGAAACGAGGGTCTGTCGATGTCGGACGACCGGCTGAACGGTCGAACTCTCTGCTTTCGGGCGAGGAGGAATCCGAACGAGGCTATGCCGAAGAGCAGAGTCTCGTTCGGGGAGGTAAACCGACCCTGAACCCGTTTATACGGGCTCAAAGGGCATATTTTTGGCTGAGTCCACGGGCTCGGAGAACACACGTTAAACCGGCCCTGTGCCACATGATACACTCGTGGGAGGGGTGACTAAATACTAGTCGATGTCGGATGAACGGTTGAAGTCTCTGCCTTCGGGCAGGGAGGAACCCGAACGAGGCTATGCCAAAGGGCAGGGTCTCGTTCGCGGGGGTAAACCGACCCTGAACCCGTTTATACGGGTTCAAAGGGCATATTTTTGGCCGAGCCCAAGGGATCGGAGATCCCACGTTAAACCGCCCTTGTGCCACATGATACCATCGTGGGGGGTGACTAAATACTAGTCGATGTAGGACGACCGGCTGAACGGTTGAACTCTCTGCCTTCGGTCGGGGAGGAACCCGAACGAGGCTAGCCGAAGGGCAGGGTCTCGTTCGGGGAGGTAAACCGACCCTGAACCCGTTTATACGGGTTCACAGCGTACATTTTTGGCCGAGCCCACGGGCTCGGAGATCCCACGGCTCGGAGATCCCACGGGCTCGGAGATCCCACGTTAAACCGGCCTTGTGCCACATGATACCCTCGTAGGGGGTGACTAAATACTAGTCGATGTCGGACGACAGTTAGTCGAATACGAAAGTATCAGCGACCAAAACAATATTACTCTGCGTAATACCTATTATATCAAGTTCCTAACGTTTTGTACTTCGAACCTATTTTAGGACCGATTTGGTACAAATACAAGCCTCCACTGCGAAATAACTCCACAAAACTTATTTACTTTATCCACTTTCATTCTCTCTCTTTCTCACTCTCGTGCGCGCTTTCACTCTAACTCCGTCTCTCTCTATCTTTCTTTCTTTCTTTCTTTCTTTCTTTCTTTCTTATCTTCCTTTCTGTCTCACTCTCATTTTATCTCTCTCGCTTATATTCTAACTACCTCTCCCACCCTCCCTTTCTCATTCTACTTTTTTTTTTACTCTGTGTCTCACTCTCATTTATTCACTCTCTCTTGCTTACCCTCTAACTCCCTCCCTCTCACTCTCTGCTTTATTCTCACACTCTCTCATTCCATTCTTTCTTCATCTAAGTAAAATCAAATCACGAAAAGGCTTTGACTTAACAATCTGCTGTATGAAATAAATTCATGAACATCACAGGCACCCCCCTACATATAAGACCGTAATCTTAATATTGTAAACAGTTGGCCTCTAAAATCTCTACTGGATGCTAGTAACTCATAAACGGCTTTTACAGAGTCATCTAATAACTACTGAAGACTTCTCTATCTCTGGCTCTCTATATGTCATGTCACTTCAGATTTTGGGTGATCATGGCCCTCCACAACTTCCTGTCATGTTGCCCCGAGTAAGTTTTTTTGTGCTTTGTCACTCTTCTTTATCTTCGTGATCCTCCTCTTGTCATCTATTTACACAAACTCTTCAAGCAGGTTGGGTTTGGTTTGGTTTACGGCATATCAGCCTCAATGCCAACAAGATTATTATTGCTGGTAGTATTTTTTCAACAATGTATTGCTGCTAATAATTTTACTTCAAAAATTCATTGCTGGTTATAGACTTTTACAATAAATGTATTGCTGGTATTAAAACATATTTTTACATAGTGTTTTGACCCCAGTTAACTATTTACTCATAGCTGGTACCCCTAACAGGTGCTACCACCCCGGGTCAGAGTGGACCTGGGAACACCAGCAATTAAGATGTGGTTCCACGCTCCTCAAAACCTCCTGATCAGAGGCCTTCCTATTGGACGTAGTTTATCGTTTTACCCAGGACCTGTTCAAGTAGTTTACTCACTGTTTTCTCCTGTTTCTTTTGTTTCCAGTGTGTCCTGTGAGTGTTAATTTCTCAAAGCCTTCCTTTCAGTTTCAGCTGTCTGTTTCAGGTAGTTTCCATATAGTTTATACTCATCTTAAAATATCCTCGATTATCACATGTTTTATCCATAACGTTTTCAATATTTGACTGCTTATGGCTGTATCACGTCAAAACACCGATTCTTGTTCGATCACCGAAATTAAGCAACGTTGATTCAGATCCGTATTTAGATGGGTGACCGTTGGGGAATACCAGGTGCTGTAAG